GCACATCTGGACGCATATACAGCCGTCACGGAACAATGACTCCCCTCCCCGCGTAAAAAAAAAAAAAAGTTGTTTCAAAACAGTTTGAGAATGGTTCACAGAGCCCGTCATTGCCCCGAGGAAATTTTCCACTGTCTTAATTTGATTGCAATATTCCCTCCACAACTGCAGCCAATAAGGCAGAAAATGATCAGCGGCCGTTCCGCAGATTCCCATTAGTAGGATGTTCGGCTCGGAATTCTGCCGTTAGAAAACGAAGCACGACCTCACTCGGTTTCCACATTACATTTTTTGCGATGATCATTTTGATTTACATTTGTCAAACTTCAAGTGAACAAAAAGATTATTTCCACAAAACTCAACATCTGTTTCTAGAGACTCTTTTTACTCATCAAGTAAAGATCACAGTGACACTACGGTGTTTTTTTGCTGTTAGCAAGCAAGCTTGACTGTAAGCTTGCTTGCTAACAGCAAAAAAACACCATAGCCCCTTTTCGTACATTGTACCACAGAAATTCAATAAAGCGGTGCTTAAAAAGTTATTGAATTTGTGAAAACAGAATATACTTGTTAAATAGTTATACTTCTGTACTCGCTTTCTCGTGAAGGGTTTAATGAATTAAAAAGTACTTTCAGCACCTTCTGCTGAACAACCTCCCGAGTGAACTGAACATAAGGAAGTCATCTCACTTTACATCTGTTAAAACATCAAGTCAGTAATCGCTGAATACATACAGATGGTGAGAAACAACTTGGTAACTACTCTGTTTTTCTACTGCCCCTCTCTTTAACATTTGTGTTGGTTTAATGTTTTTTTTTATGTTTTTAGTGCTTTTCTGGTGTTTTATTACATATTTGATTTCATATTTATTTTTTAAGTACCTGCTAATCTATTCTAAGAAAACACCTTCTTCTCACTTGGCCACTGTTCCCTGACCTTTGCAAGAAAAAAGAAAGAAAAAAAAATCCAACACACTTTTCTGCCTCACTTTTGTTTCTCCCTGCAAAGACAGAAAGTGCTGCTGCGGCTGCAGCCACCTCTCTAACACTTTTTTTTTTTTGCACATAAACACTTGACTTGCACCTTCGCCCGCATGTACACACACTTCTGCTCTGTATATGCACAAATAAACAATGATGCAACAGCGCTCCACACCTGCTGCACCGTCGGGTTTTTCGCCGAACATGACTTCCTTCCTCCCACGCTGCACCCTGAGTGGCTCCATATATCACCTCCACTCTGACAACCAACTTCCAGTCGGCATCACACGGTAAAGTTTCTCACACGATAAAATGAATTTGCCCTGAATGAAAAGTTCCAGCATCTATCTGTCTGATCCCAGGACTGAAAATGACATTTAAATAGTGACGAATGCTATTGTTTTAAGGCAGTCTGGATGTAATTACACAGTTATTTTAGCAAATAAAGCGCAGAGAGACAGAACAATAAAAAGAGTTGAAAGATTGACTGAAGTGTGATTGTAAAAAGAAATGTGGAGAAGTGAAAAAAGAAGCAGCCGTAAATCTTTTTTTTTTTTATCCAATTATTTACTCATGATACTCAAACATGAATGGTTTGAGTACTGAACTGGTACTACGTTTAAATCATCTTGTCCAAGTAGAGACTGTCACCAAATGTGACCTCATGTCTGACACGATCCAAAGACTACAAAAGAGATCCATCACAAAGACAGACAATGGGTTGATTTTTGTTTTCGTCTTCTATGTCGTACATTAATGGAATTGTCAATTTCCAGTGAGAAAATTCGTGTTTGAACACTGGGTTTATTAAGCACTGAAGCCTCAGTGATCAACACATTAGAATATACGTATGTCTAAATCTTATCTATTCAAATGGTGGTCCGAGGGCCGAACACAGCCCGGACACAACTTCAAAAAAAGAAAAGAAAAGAAAAGAATAATAATCTGTCGCTTTAACTAATGTTCATCAGCACCAAAGCATTCAAATATTTCACCTTGAAGAAGAAGAAGAAGAGGAAGAGGAAGAAAAGGAAGAAGAAGAGAAAGAAGGAGGAGAAGAAGAAGGAAGAAGAAGAAGGAAGAAGGAAGAAAGAAGAAGAAGAGGGAAGAAGAAGGAAGAAGGAAGAAAGAAGAAGAAGAGGGAAGAAGAAGGAAGAAGGAAGAAAGAAGAAGAAGAGGGAAGAAGAAGGAAGAAGGAAGAAGGAAGAAGAAGAAGGAAGAAGGAAGAAAGAAGAAGAAGAGGGAAGAAGAAGGAAGAAGGAAGAAGAAGAAGGAAGAAGGAAGAAAGAAGAAGAAGAGGGAAGAAGAAGGAAGAAGGAAGAAGGAAGAAGAAGAAGAAGAAGGAAGAAGTAGGAAGAAAAAGATTTATTATTATTATTATTATTATTATTATTAAGTCCTTCTCACCAACTAGGTACCGACACTTCTTAAAAGTGGATTTATATCAAAACATTAAAATGAAGTCTATCAGTCAGGTTTGAAATAAAAAGAAGTGAACTTTGAAAACAGGACTATGATTAACACACACCTGCGGACTCTAGCTGTCTGACTTTAGTTCCACACAAATGTCACATGTAAATGTGACCTTTAACATTGGTATTAGTTGGTCTGCTGTAATCTCTGCCTCATGTACTGTATCTGCTGCTGGGGATTAGGACCAGGGAAAACAAGGAACGTTTTTTTTCCTCTTTTATTGTTAAACAAATAAAGTAAATGTTGAGGGTGATTTTTCTCTCTCCTTTTTTCCACTGGGACAATTACTCAAGAAGTGCTGCTTAAACTGCAGCAGAAAGAAAATGTGTTGTTTAGGGTATATTTATTTATTAATTATTATTATTAGACTAGAGTAATAGTTAAGAATCACGATAACTACAAGCAGCTCTCGTCCCAGTGACACTCAGTAAAATAAAAGGATGAACAGAGGGTCGTGATCTCTGTCCCGCTGCCGCCTCAGGGCATGTCACTCACTGACAGCAGACACACTTCTGGGTAAAGACTACTGATGTGCAAAACCCTCAAAGGTCAGTTCCTCTGTCGGACTTGTCATTACACTGACGGGAGATAAGTCACCCGTGTAAAACACTATTGGTTCACAAATACTAAATAGAGGAAGAGTGTCCTGTCTCCTGGACGTCCACAGTCCATCACGGGCTGCATTTACTTTAATAATTCTAGATTGCATTTTTGAGATAAAGGCAATTTATAAAGTGTTTTGACACTTCTGTTACAAAACCATTTAATCCTCTCAGAGGAGGCAGGGTGGAACCAATCCTTTACATATTTAATGAAATCTAATTTTATTAATCATATTCCGAACATGAGGTTTTTGAGTATTTTCGTTATTTTTAAAATTCTTCAAACGGGCCAGTTTGAACCCTCTAACGGGCCGGTTTTTGCCCACGGGCCTTATGTTTGACAGACCATTTAAAACATAACTGAATGAAATAATAAAGCCAGACTCAGATTCTGCATCGAATAAGAAAACCTACTCAACGTAAGGCGCCGTCCTGCACTGCGATGACGCCGCCGCCGTGAATAATCGAGGTCGGGAGGAGGTTAAGCAGAGAACGGGGTGAGAGACAGACAGCGTGAGCTGTGAGTAAACTTGTGTATCTCGGAGAGTCCCACTTTTGAAAAAAACGCTTCCCATTTTTCACTCAAGCTCAGTCGGTTGTCACCCTCATTTTTCAGTAAGTTCACGCTTTTCCATCAATCACTTTCTAGCCATAAATTCAAAAAATCAAAACACAGGAAAATCGCGGCGAAGCATCATCCCGTCACAGACGAGGAGGGAGTTTTGGCGAGAAGGCTGCGTTATGAAAGGGAACGTGGCCCCTGGCTTTTCAGCTGAGGACCGGGTCAGAGCTGAGAGCTACAGTAGTAATTACTGCCAGACTGATTGTTGACAGGACCTTCCAACAGCCTGTGGTTAAGTGGATGGAGCTGAGGGGGAGGAAGCTTCAACTGCACAGGAATGACAGATGCTCTGCTGATGACTCGTACTTCAGGGTGGTTCGGGGGCATGCATGCATGCCATTTTGCTTTGCTCTCCTCCTTCCAGAATGTGCAATAAGACAAACATATTTTTGCCCGTTGAGTTTTTGACATCTCTCTGGAGGTGAGACGTCACGGGATGAGAGATTGGAGCAAATTACGCACTTATTTTAATAATAATCTTCTGTGAAATCGTCTGTGTTTTTGGACGTCGCACTGAAGCGGCTATTAGGTTACCACATGTCTTTTATTAAGAATAATTATCTCTCCTTATTTTCTGAGACTAGATATAATTCATTCCAAATGGCAGAAAGTTATATTTGGAGTGAAGGGCTTATAAGGAGATGTCCTTAAACAGATTTTGAACCCACTTCAGTGACAGGGTGGGAGGAATGTGTGATTGCTGCAGGAAAGGCATCGCCACAACTGGGACAGTGACTATTTTCCGAATGCCTTAGGCCAGTTTTTCCCTCAGGGTGGTCATTTGAGAGCCCATGGGAACGCTCATCATGACCATATGGATGTTCTAACCTGGTATTTTAGCAAACCCATCTGTGCCATCCATTTGCCCGGTTGATTTAGCTGTGGTGACAGAGATGGCTGTATTCACGTTGGGTGCTGTTCGTTCTCGTTAGGAACCGATGGATCCAGCAGTCGAAGCCGGAGAGTTACTATTATCAATAAATCAATAAATCAATAATAAAAGTTACTTTTTTTTATGATATTCAACCAACACGCAGCAGCAGTGCAGAAATTAGCTTCGGAGACAAAAAGAAAACAAACCCAAAAACACCCGTGCTGGCCTTGCACTTTTTCAACATTACAAGAACAAGGCTCATAAAAGTTGCAGACCACGCTGGAGTTCAGCAAAATGACAAAAACAGAAGTGATGTTGGCGAGTGACCAGCAGCCACCACAAACATCTTTCACAGGCAGCAGTGAAATGAAGCAAAAACTGTCGAAGTCGAAACCAAACACACACTGTTTCACTGTGTGCAGTGAAACAGTCACTGCGACCGACTCACCTCCGACGGTTTCTTGTGCTGGTGGCGGACCCATGTGCTGCTGGTGCCCGTATTTTTGGACGACCTGGACCATGAGGTCACCTGACCTGGAGAGGAAGAAGAACGAAAGAGAATGAGAGCAAGTAATGCTAAAAATAGTTTCAAACCTTCCAAGAAAAAAAAAGAAAAAAAGTGACCAACCTAAACAAATATTTTTGAACTGATGATGCAACAACTAGTTGGACTGGAATTTGTCTTTTTAACTTTTGTCTTGTTGGCATGATGATCTCGTTCGTCGTTTTTTTGAATAAGGAACAGTGGAAGATGAGGTTAGATGAGGTGATCTGATCTGAACTCTCTGTTAGATTCAGCTATATCGTTAGCAATGCTAAGTCTTTGGCATTGTTAAAGCATTGTCAAAGACCAGGCTTGGACACAGCAGACTGCTGATCAGAACCCAGACCTGCGTAGGTCTATGGTGGGTGGACGAGAGTTGAATTTCAATGGCATTGACTTTGTCAATGACGAAATGGATTGATGCATTCAACCAATAGAAACGAGACTGGATGAAGTGCAATTAGCACTAATTGTTACCAATAATAATAATAATGACATTCAAACAGATTCCATTCCAGATTCCCATTAGAACGCCATAAAGGCCCAACATGAAAACATCCCTTAATGCATTTGTCAACTGTTTGGACATGTCATCAAAATAAAAACAAACGACATTAAGATTAAACTATTGACTAAGTTGAGAGTACAACTTAGTCAAAAGACTAAAACTAAGACTCGGTCAAAATCGGCATTGATCAAGCACCAAAATCAACCAGGGTTAAAGAGAGAGGACACATTTCATAGTGTGTGTATAATTATAAATAAAGGTACTTATAGCTATAGATTAGATGCTAATGCTAATGAAATGTCTCTTAAACACACTTTAATGTCCCGTTGGAGCAACTTGCATCACGGAGCATGTTTACAGAGCGACTGTTAAAAATAAACAACTGTAGCAGCAATATGTAAAAGCCAAACAAAGCTGTTCCAGGGAGAGGTGACTGGTGGAATTCACCGCCGATGGAGGCGAACGAGAGGAAACCCGTTAGCACCAGCCTCCGTCTAAGTCGGGCTCTTAATTGAGACTGACTGATGATGATCCATCTAAGGCGTGTAATACGTAATGACAGCATAAATAGCACCTAGTTAAGCACCGAGGTCCTCTGTGGTCCTCTACAACCTCATTAATACTGAACCTAATGGCAATTAAACAGACAATGGAGCCAATAGCCCACCCACCGCTTTAATCAGCCCATGTGTAGGTACACAGCGTCCGCGCTGATATGGGGGAGAAAAGGAAAGTGGTAATGGGGGTGAATTCATTCAAGCGGGGCCATGGTCTTAAACTCACAGAGGCCGGGTCTCATTAAATGAATTGATTATCATTATTATTAAATTATTAATTATCAAAAATGTACAATGGAAAACAAATACGGCAACAACGTGGAACATTGTAGCCATGGCGCTCTCACTCACTCGCAGTGTATATGTGTGTGTGTGTGTCTCTGTGTGTGCGTGTGCACATGCTACCTCCCACTCAACATATTTCCCTGGCCGCTACAGCAGCACCACCGCTGCGCTAATTTTACTAGTGACATCTGAACGACTAACAGCGCCGAGGGCTGAACTGCTGTCACTCTCACAAATTACTGACTTTCCCACTAACACACTCTCACACACACCATATACACATACTGTATATTTGTCCACACAGTCACACACACATGCAGTACAATCACCCTGCACAGATTGAATGCCAAAACACAAGAGGAAATAAGAACGGACAGCCATGAGTGGGTAATGATTTCAAACGATTCTTCTCTCAGTTGTATGGACTGAGTTCCACTAACTGTAAGAGAAGGCGTGTCAAACTCATTTTGGTTCAGGGGCCACATTCAGCCTGATTAATGAAGTGGGCCGGACCAGAACAATCATAACATAATTACCTATAAATAATAATAACTCACTTCACTTCATAAGGGCCAGATTGAACCCCCCAGCGGACCAGTTTTGGCCCACAGACCATATGTTTGACATCCCTGTTTAAGAGCCTGGGATTGTTATAAATGTTCATTATACCAGACGAAAAAAAGGCTCACAACAATGGAATTAACTAATGTAAAAATTCTAATGCAATATAAAAAACATTTTATATTAGTGTATACAGTAAACCCTTGTTTTTCGCGGGGGTTACGTTCCACAAAGAACCCGTGATAGGCAAAATCCGTGGTAGAAATCTTTACAATTAAATACTCAGAAAAAGAAGAGAAAGAACGAACAAACCATTTTACAATCTCAACCATTTGTTTCACAAATAAAGTAAAATAAAAGTACTTTAGAAACGTTTCAACAAATAACTTCTGTAATGTACTGTCAAATAATAATTTTAATCATCAACGTGAACAGAAGGCTTCAAATTGCGGAGATTAGCACCGCCCACCGTGAACGGGAGAAAATTAAAAATGATTATGAAAAAAATACAAATTACCTGGTCTTGTTGCGGGCAGTTGCAACCCTTTTTGAATCCTTATTAAAACTTATTGCTGCTGTCTTCCTTATGTTTTTTTCTTCCTTCTTTATGGAACGAACGGAAGATTCATTAATTCCATAATGCCGACCTACAGCCGCATAGCTTTTAGCTTCATTTAGCATGTCCAATAGTTTTACCTTATCACCGATAGACAGCATCTTCCGCTGCCTTTTGGTCCCTACCGCAGGTACTCTTGCCGGTCCAGAGCGTTTTGTCGACATTATGGGGTTTGATAAACTCGAAATTGCAAGAGAATTTGCACGTACGTAATGTCAATTTGGCAAGCTGTTTTACGTACGTGTACATATTAAACCGCAACGTTATTGGCGCACAGGTAGAGAAGAAGCGGAGGGACTTTTTAGCCAATCAGAATGCAGAACACAATGCACGATGCAAATCCGTGAAGTAGCGAAACCGTGAAAAGTAAACCGCGTTATAGCAAGGGATCACTGTATAGTGTTTTGAGTAGAGTGTGTGGTTTAAAGAGCAATTATTTTGGGATGTTTGTTGAATTAATATTAAGTAGGGGCTAACAATGTAACGATAAGTGTCGCTTATTATCTACATCAACACTCTGTGAGTGATGGCTGATGGGCAACTAGGGGTGCAGTGTTTCCCCAGGGAGCCACAGGTTAGATCTGAGGTTGAGGTCCAACTCTCTCCACTAAATGTACAGCATGCAGTCCCAACAGCATAAGTTCTACTGGAACCCCCCCCCCCGGAAACTCCATCATCTACTACAACATGATCCCAGATATCCTTCTTCTCCATGTAGAAGTGCAGAAATTAAAGGACTATCCCAAAAAGTTTCACTAAGATTGTGCATAGTAGGACACAGTAACGGTGGTCAACACCAAATCCGCACAAACGAGCCAAATCCAAATCTCGACTAGCTCGCTTTGAAAGCCGTGTTTGCTCGCTTGTGTGCAGCACTGCTGCTTAAGAGATCATTTTTCCAGCGAACGCTGCCAGTGACAGTGACATGTTAAGACTGTCCAGATGTTGCCTCTATCATGTGGTCTGAAAAGCTAACGTCTGTCTGTGGCTCTCTGGAAGTCTGTGTCACAAACCGAGGATGCAACTGTATCTGCTGATCCACCAGATCTCTCATAACAAAAGTGAAGGACATGAATGAAAAGTTAAAGCTCTTTTACTTTTCAATGGTGAACGGTGAAGGCCAGATGTGTGTGTTTTGGAGAATCCGCAGCCTCATTCTGTGCGAATTAGGGCACCTGATTTAAAGGCAGCAGCTCATTTGGCAGTCACCTTGTAACGCCGGCCGTCTGGCCACATTCTCAAAGTTCAGCGAGTTCAGTAAATAATATAATGGAATGAGTTCTTCCTCGAGATTACATTGGCCGTGGGGCAACTCTTCCCGAGCGGGGCTGTTATGAATAAAATAAATCTTTAGGTGCAATTATTTTTTTCAATACTGACAGATGGAAGCACTTTATAGGAAGTGATGTGTAATGAAACACAGTCAATCACAGTAATTTACAGCGGCCGGGAGAGACACGGCGGCTGAAGGCTGGTGATTCACTGGAGTTAATGAAGTCAAACAAACACTAAAAATGTCGGATCACAAGAAAGTGGTGAGCAGTCAGCGTCTGTGAAGATTCCACTCACACTCGCTGTCGAGTTAATCACACCACCTGCTCATTTGTTACTAAACAAATGCGTTGTTTTTAGACTCTCTGTTGATACGGCACTCGTTCGGTTTTCCCCACTGTATGTGTTAAAGTGCACTGTTAATTTGACAGCAGCACAGGATAAAAAAGAAAATACCAAGCAGAGCTGCTGCTTCACACTTAAAATATAATAAAATACAATATAAAATACAATAAGCCTAAGGGTCAGATCTAAGTTCTAGGTCAGGGGGTTGGTTTAAGGGCCACATATAGATGTCAAGTGAACCAGACCAGTACAATCATAACATAATTACCTATAAATAACAATAAGTCCATGTTTTTCTCTTTTGTTTTCTGTGCAAATAAGGTCAAATTTATTGGAGAACATTCATATTTAATGAAATATAATTTGACAAAACATCATGAACAAGTGTTTGTGCATTTTTTCACTTTCAAAATTCATCAACAACTGCTGCTCCACAGAGCTTTGTATCCAATGACGACAAAGTTCTTCTCCCGTATCGTGATCTTTGTGTCCTTGTGCGTGTCCAGCTCTACTTTATGCAATTTTATTATCCTAATTCCACTCTCGTTATGGTTTTACTATGCAGATGTCCATGAAAGTACAACAAGGGGGTCGTGAAATATTTGGCCGAATAAACTTTTTTTTCCTTTTCCTTCATTTTTTTTATCCCCCAAACTGAGGTGTCGTTAAATATATCTCTACACAACTACAGCAAATTACAACACGAAGGCAGAAGAATTGTATCCTCCACCTGAACAATGTTGATGTCAGTGTAACACAAATAGTGAAGCGGGGCCCCTATGGGGGGGCGC